GGCCTTGGCCTATCATTTGCGTGACTGGATCGCGGGGCTCACCTGAAGGTGCTCACGCTGAAAGGTGCTTCACTGCTCTGAAAGGTGGCTCACGCTGAAAGGTGGCTCACCTGAAAAGGTGGTCCATGAAAGGTGTGCTCACCTGAAAGGGTGTTTGTCTCACCGAAAGAAGGTGGCTCACCTGAAAGGTGGCTCACCTGAAAGGTGGCTCACCTGAAAGGTGGCTCACCTGAAAGGTGGCTCACCTGAAAGGTGGCTCACCTGGGGACAGCCCCAGCGGGAGAAGCAGTTTGTCGTTGCTGTCGTCGACAGTCTGAGGCTACATCAAGCTCATTTTCGCTGTCTGATCTCACAAAGTGTTCATGCTTTTAGTGTTTCCCTTGAGAGTTATTTTACTTCCCTTTTTTTTGAGACAGAGTCTCACTCTGTTGCCCAGGCTAGAGTGAGTGCCGTGGCGTCAGCCTGGCTCACAGCAACCTCAGACTCCTGGGCTGAAGCGATCCTGCTGCCTCAGCCTCCTGAGTAGCTGGGACTACAGGCATGCGCCACCATGCCCGGCTAATTTTTCCTATATATCTTTAGTTGTCCAGCTAATTTCTTTCTATTTTTAGTAGAGACGGGGGTCTCGCTTTTGCTCAGGCTGGTCTCGAACTCCTGACCTCCAGCGATCCTCCCGCCTTGGCCTCCCAGAGTGCTAGGATTACAGGTGTGAGCCACTGCGCCCGGCCTTACTTATTTATTTTTCTTAGTGACTTCTAAATGTTCTCTGCCTGCCTATGGTTGGTTTCATTTTCTGTTAAGCAGCCATATGTCATACCTATTCCGTCAGAGCCACTTTCTCATTTTTTTCTTATATGTAAAAATTTTAGATATATATTATTGGTTTTTAATTGTAAAAATTATAGAAGTATATAAGTTCAAAATGAAAATCTCTCACCCAATCCTATTCTCCAGAGGTAATCATTATGAATAGTTTGGTGCATACTCTTTGATTTTTATATACACTTACCCACATTGTTTTCATACAGATGAGATCATGGTAAGCATACTCTTCCACAATTTGCTTTTTCTTCACGTAACAGTATATCTTGGAGACTTTTTCATACAATTACATTTAGATTTACTTTTTTCTATGTCACGACAGACTACCATTCTGTTGTTTTTAATGCACTATGATATATTTTGTCATATTGTCATATTGTCATATCATATATTATCATATACTATCAACTCAGTATAGACTTCAGTATGTTTCTAGACTAAAAGGTAAAGCCAGTAAAAGGCTGGAAACAGGAGAGAGATGGAATGACAAATGGAACTGTCAGGAGGGGACACCTGGCCACTGACACAGGACAGGTGGGGAAGACGCTGTCACAGGACTCGAGGACAGTTTGGTCCATTTGCACTAGTGCTCTGCCTGCATCTCCTCATACAGGCCCCCTCTCCTTTTGCCTTGCTGGGACCTGCTGTCGCTTCCTGCGGGGGCTTCGCGCGGACTATGGGAAGCGGCACCTCCACCCAGCATCATCTCGCCTTTCAGAATGCAGAGAAAGGTATGTTTCCGCTTCAACACCCAAACCCAGGGGCGCCTTGCCTTTCTCCTCAGCCAGCTCTTAGAGACCAGCTTCTGCTCCCAGCGGCCTGGCTGCCGGCATGCTCGGCCGAGTGGCATTTCGCGGAATTTAAATCTGTTCAGGGCGTGAGTGTTGTCCACCGGGGCTCATCCCAAACTGCGGGGGGAAAAGCGAGCAATAGGGCTGGCACAGAAGGGAGCGAGCGCATCCTGGACAGGGCGCGGCGGGAAGCGCCCGCGGAGGCAGAGGCTGTGGGCTGTGAGCTGTGCAGAGGCCGGGGCACTCAGGACCTTGTGGGATTTTAACTTTTATCCCCAAGGCATGAAGAACCGTGGAAAAATTCAAAATTGGGAGTTCTAGAATAAGATTTACACATTTAAAACATTCTTCTGGCATCTGTGAAGGAGGAATTGGAGGGTTAGGAGTAGAGGGGAGGCCGGGCGGGGCTCACACCTGTAATCCCAGCACTCTGCGAGGCCGAGGCGAAACCCTGTCTCTACTAAAAATAGAAAGAAATTAATTGACCAACTAAAAATAAATAGAAAAAATTAGCCGGGCATGGTGGCGCATGCCTGTAGTCCCAGCTACTCGGGAGGCTGAGGCAGGAGGATCGCTTGAGCCCAGGAGTTTGAGGTTGCTGTGAGCGAGGCTGACACCACGGCACTCCAGCCCGGGCAACAGAGTGAGGCTGTGTCTCAAAAAACAAACAGAAAAAGGAATGTCCATGAAGCTCGTTAAACCTCCAGATTGTTTCCTGGGTCCCACCTGCAGAGGCCTTGCCGCCGCAGGTCTGGGTGAGGCCCGGCGGTCTGCGTGTTCGCCAGGAGTCCCTGCAGAACCCGCAGCGCCTACCCTGGCGTTTCATTCACTATTCTGGACGTGGTTTCACAGAATCCAGTCTGCAGGGCTTCAGCCTCATGCTTTCTTCATTAGTGAGTGCCTTTGAGAAATATTTACAGTCTGAAATTTTTTTTCCTTTTTTTTTCAAATTTAGCTTTGTTTAAATTCCTCCCCGTTTCTCTTTTGCCTCTTCTCCATCATCTTTCCTCTTAGAGAAAAGCTAAACTCATTCCATCAGTCTGTCGCTGCTCACGAGGTTGACCTGAGGCGACCCGCAGGCCCCCTTTCTAATCCGGCTTTAGCCACAAACTGTCCACTCATCACCAGCAGCACATCCAGGCCCTGGGGCTTAAGAAGAGTCCAGTTACTTATGTGGGCAGCTGTCCCCTTCTCTGGCAGCAGTGCTTGACTTAAAAGAACTAAAACTACATTCCCCAACCTGGCCCATGCAGTCACCTAGGCAGGGCCTGGCAGAAGGAGACTGGAGGGGCTGTGGGACCCACGATCACCGACGTGCTGTGAGGGGGACAGACCTGGGGAGGACAGGCAAAGGACCTTGGAATCACTTATACTCTGCATTGATTTGAGTGTTTGTTTGTTGTTTGTTCTCCCTGGTCTTCATCTGGTCCAGCCCTTTCTCCAGATGAGGACATTGAGGGCCGGGGGCGGCAGCTCACGCCTGCAATCCCAGCACTCTGGGAGGCCGAGGCGGGCGGATCGCTGGAGGTCAGGAGTTTGAGCCTGAGCAAGAGCGAGACCCCATCTGTACTAAAAATAGAAAATTAATAGACCAACTAAAAATATATATAGAAAAAATTACCCAGGCATGGTGGCACATGCCTGTAGTCCCAGCTACTCGGGAGGCTGAGGCAGGAGGATTGCTTGAGCCTGGGAATCAGAGGTTGCTGTGAGCGAGGCTGACGCCACGGCACTCTAGCCTGGGCAACAGAGTGAGACTCTGTCTCAAAAAAAAAAAGACATTGAGGACTTGCCTGAAGCCACATCACTGGCCAAGGCATTTCCAGGCCTAGAGCCCAGGTCTCCTGAAGTCCAGCCGATTGCCACAGTGTCAGAGTGCCCCGGCCGCCACGCCCTCACTCCGCAGCCGTGGCGGCGCCGCAGCCTCGCCATCTGCAGTTCGCGTTGCTCTCAGAGCCCTGGCAGTGCAGCCTCGCCGCTGGCACGCGGAAAGCTCCCGTCAGTGAGCGTCCCAGTGGCCCTCCCGTGACACGAGGACTGTCGGGCAGGAAGGAGGGTGGGGGCCGGGTGGGTGCAGTGGGCACACTTCCTGTGGCGCCCGCGGGCAGCCTCCCCGGCAGCTGGGCCTCACAGGCACGGTGGGGTCTGGGCACCTCCCTCCCCCGCCGCTCACGCTGCTCCCCGCCCGCCCGCGGGTCCAGCCTTCCGGGCGGCGGCCCTGATCCAGAGGTGGTACCGGCGCCACGCGGCCCGCCTGGAGATGAGGCGCCGCTGCACCTGGAGCATCTTCCAGTCCATCGAGTACGCCGGGCAGCAGGACCAGGGCAAGGTGCGAGGGCGTGGGATGGCAGCAGGGCTGGGCGACTGGGCGCTCCTGGGTGCCCTTTCCCCTCTTCACTAAAGCTGGTGGCCTTGGGCTCTTCTGCAGCTCCACGACTTCTTCAGCTACCTCATGGACCACTTCACCCCCAGCAGCCACAACGAGAGTGAGTAGGGACTGCCGCCCGGCCACAGACGTCAGGGTGACGTGGGAAGGGAGGGACGGGAGGGTTGCGGATGCCACAGCATTTCCGGCCGCCAGTCCAGGCTAGGGGCACAGAGTCCAGCAGCTGGAAGTTGCTGGAGGGTGCTGCAAGGGCTGGTGCACCTGCTGCCTCTATGTGCACACCACAAGTGCCTGTAAACCACCTGTCCACCCTGGCCTTGCCCTTCCCTCCCGCTTACAAACCCAGGCCTTTACAGCTCTGTGCTTTCTAAGTCTGACAGATGCAATTTTTATTAATAAAATAAAAGTAGACTAGATACCAGCTAATGTTTTTATCAACCTAAAAACATAGCCTTTCCCTCCTGTGCATCCTGGTCTGCTGTCACTTTGCCTTTTCCTTCCCCCTGTCCTGTGCTGGGGGCGATGGCGGACTGGCCAGTCCCGCTTCCACCGCAGTCCAGGGAAGGACTATTGTCTCGCACCACGGACCGTGTGCCGACCACAAGCCAGCCCACCTTCTCTGTCCGGCTAGGGGACTTCCTGAACCGCATGTTCACTGGAGAGGGGCTCCCCCAGGACTCTGAGACAGAGAGATGCAGCGACTACGAGTCCGTAGAGGTGCCAGACAGTTACGTGGGGCCACGGCTCTCCTTCCCGCTCCTCCCCGCCCACGCCACGGCCCTGGTGGAGGCTTTCAGGCTGAGACAAGTAAGCTCACCTGGGGAACCCGGGTCACCACCCACCCTGTGTGATGTGTGGACGGAGGCCAGGCCCAGCGCAGGGGAACGGCCCCTTGTTTGGGGTGTTCGTGTCATATGTCCACTGGGGAGACGCCCCTCTGCTCAGGCGGGACCTTGTGGTCCACCAGCCAGTTCCTTTTTTTTTTTTCTTTTCTTTTCTTCTTTATTTTTTGAGATAGAGCCTCACTCTGTTGTCCGGGCTGCCATCAGCCTAGCTCACAGCAACCTCCAACTCCTAGGCTCCAGCAATCCTTCTGCCTCAGCCTCCCGAGTAGCTGGGACTACAGGCATGCGCCACCATGCCCAGCTAATTTTTTCAATATATTTTTAGTTGGCCAATTAATTTCTATTTTTAGACAGGGTCTCACTCTTGCTCAGGCTGATCTCGAACTCCTGACCTTGAGTGATCCACCTGCCTCGGCCTCCCAGAGTGCTAGGATTACAGGCGTGAGCCACCGCGCCCGGCCCACCAGTCAGTTCTTATGATCGAAGCTTCTCCTCCTCATCACACAATTGCTTGTTCACTCACCGCACGATGATCACTGAGCACAGCTCTGTGCCCAGAGGGCTGTGAACAGGACAGGCACAGGCGCCTGCCCTCAGGGGGCTGACGTCCTAGAGGGTAGACAGATGAGAAGTAATAAATAACAATAAGTCAATTGTATACTATATTATTGTTTGGTTGGTTGGGTTTTGTTTGTTTTTTGAGACAGGGTCTTGCCCTGTTGCCTGGGCCAGCATGCAGTGGTGTCACCATCGCTCACTGCAGCCTCGAACTCCTGGGCTCAAATGATCCTTGTGCCTCAGCCTCCCAAGTAGCTGGAATACCAGCACGCATGGCTAATTTTCTATTTTTTGTAGAGACGGGGTCTCGCCATGTTGATTCAGGCTGGTCTTGAACTCCTGGCCTCAGGTGATCCTCCAACCTTGGCCACCCGAAGTTCTAGGATTACAGGCATGAGGCACCAGGTCCAGCCTATATAGTCTGTTAGAAGGTGATAAGAGCTATGGCAAAGAGTAAACCAAGTTGTGGGTAGGAAAGATGGCAATTTTTTATTTATTTGTATTTTTTAGAGACAGGATCTCCCTCTGTCACCCAGGCTGGAGTGCAGTGGTGTGATCATAGCTCACTGCAGCCTCGAACTCCTGGGCTCAAGCGATCCTCCCCAGACGGCAGTTTTATTGAGGGGTCTGGGAATGATTTCTGAGCAAAGGTCGAAGGCAGTGCGGGATGCACCATGGGCCGTCCAGGGAAAGAGCAGTCCAGGCAGAGGAGGACCAAATGGAAAAACCCTGGGGCCGGAACTTGCCTGGACTATTCAGAGGCCTCAGGAAGGCCCTTGTAGCTGGAGCGAAGAGAGCCAGGGTACCAGTAGCAGAGGTGAAAGAGACGAGGAAATATTGGACGGCAGGCGCTGGAATGATGTAATCTGACTTGCTTTTTAAAACAGTCATTCTGGTAGCTGCGTTAGGAATAGACGTCGGGGTGAGGGCCGAGCCCGGAGGCCGGTCAGCAGACTCCTGCCACGGTCCGGGCGGCCGGAGCGCCGGCGGCAGAGGCGGGGTGGTGCGAAGCAGTCAGATTCTAGCTGTGTCGGAATCCAGCCCTAACCCTCTTCCCACGACGCGGAGTCGGGATGGAGTACTGCAGTAGCGACAGGGCTGCTCAGTACCATCAGCCCCGCGCTCCTCCAGCCGAGGGCGAGGGCGCGCCCTGTGGAGGAGGAGGAGAGACGCAGAGCAGAGCCGGGGCGGTGGGGAGAGGCGGCACTCGCGCGGAGTCCCAGGAGCAGTTTGCGCGGCTTCCTGTGGGCGTCCGGGCGCCTGGGGCCGCGGGCAGGAAAGGTGCGGGCTGGCTTCTCCCTCGAAGACCCGCGTCGTCTCCTCTCCTCCCTCTTCCTCCTCGTAGCAGCTCCACGCTCGCTACGTCCTGCACCTCCTGCACGAAGCCAAGAAGCACCTGGTGCAGCTGCCCAACATCACCCGCGTCTCCACCTGCTACAGCGAGGAGGTCACGGTGTGCGGTGAGCGCGCCCCGCGCTGCGCAGACCCGCCGCTCCGCGTCCCCGCGTCTGCCCGGGCAGGCGCGCCCCGCGCTCTGCGCCCCCACGCCCCGCGTCTGCCCGGGCAGGCGCGCCCCGCGCTCTGAGCCCCACGCCCCGCGTCTGCCCGATGCGGCCCCACGCCCGCCCCCCACGGTCTGCCCGGGGCAGGCGCGGGTTGGGCCCGCGCCTCTGAGCCACGCCCGCGTCTGCCCGGCAGCCGCCCCCGCGCTCTGAGCCCCACGGGCCCGCGTTGGCCCGGGGCAGGCGGCCCCACGGCCCCGCGCCCCCACGCCCCGCGTCTGCCCGGGCAGGGCGCCCCACGCCCCGCGTCTGGCCCGGGGGCAGGCGGCCCACGGCCCCACGCCCGCGTCTGCCCGGGCAAGGCCGCGCGCCCCGCGCTCTGCGCCCCGCGCCCCCATGCCCCACGCCCCGCGCCCCCACGACTGCCCGGGCAGGCGCGGCACAGGCTGCAGGGGGCGGGCGGGCCTCCGCTCCTTCCCAGGCTCACATTCTGCCTTCAGGCCCGAGTCCCCTGCACGAGCCCAGCCCCTCGTGTCAGAAGACACTTTGCTTATCGGGCCTTGCGCACGCCCCAGTGACTAGCAAACGACACCTTCTCCTCTCCTGGAGAGGAGTCCTGCCCACCACGACCGTCTCTGTCCCCGTGTAACATCCGTTGTAGACCAGCCCTCCCCACTTTGACCTCGCGAAGGAGAGGCGACACACTGGGACAGTCAGGTGCCCTGCTCGGGGCACACAGCCTACAGACGAGTCCTGTCTGCCCTGCCGTGTCCTTAGACTTTCCAGATTGGTGTACCGACATTTGAAAACTGGAGATCTCATATTAAGGTCGAAATTTTGCAATTGCTTTAGAAAATCTCCTACGCTCATAAGCAAGTGGAAGCTCCTTACTTGGGCAGAATCTCTCCTTACTTTGCCCTAACTTGGGCAAAACCTCTCCGAGCCTCAGCTGGGTTGCACCCCTCCCTTACTCTGTCTCAGCTCTGCTTCAGTGAAAGTATAGGTCGTTTACTGTTTATGAAGATCATGCAGAAAAAAATACCGTGCTGTCTGCTTTCAATATTAACTATCTCTGCAACAAGGACAAATTAATATTTACCCCTGTCTTACATATGGAAACATTAGTAACCATAGAAACCTTTGTCAGGTTTTTCTGGGTATTTCCCTTTTTATAGTGAAAATTAGAAACAATGGCAATGACCAATCAGCTGATACTCTCTTTCTGTCTTGGTTAGGAGATCTACACGGCCAGTTGGATGACTTAATATTTATATTTTATAAGGTATGAATGTTCAAATTAAGTTCCTTTCTTGTTCTGAGGGTTAATTCAGAAGTTTAGATATAGTATCTAGTAAACAAATGCGTAAATGTTCCTTGGATTTTTAAAGTAATATCTTTGATAATACTTGCTACATAGTCAGCACTGCATTCTGTTCTTGTATGTTTTTGCAAACTGTTTATCAAATAAAATGTTAGGTTACTGAATAGAAGGAGTCATTATTTAGCAATGGATTTTCATCTCTTCAAATAAAGAAAATGCCTTATTATCAAAATAACCAAAAGCTATTTTCATGCCTATTTTTAGTTATAAAATGTAGAACATATAACAAGGTAGATGAATATAAAAATATTTTATTAATGGAATATTACTTGGTATACATACTATACTTCCCAAGGCATTTTACCATGCATTGGCTTTTTAATCCTGAGCTATTATTATTATTATTATTGCAAGTTAAAGATAGTGTGGCCAGGACTTAACCACTGGCCTTCAGATCACAAGTTCAATGCCCTTCACTCCACACCTCATGGCAACACTCCGGCTTGGTATAAAGCATTTATTCTAACAAGGTCTCATAGCCTCAGCCTCATCGGAAAGGAAATACAAGACCAATAGAAGGCATTTCCATCTTTTACTGACATTTCACATTTGAAGGAGACCCAGACAGCACAGAATTGGCGTTAGCCCTGGTAGGATTATCGATGCCCATTGCCTTCAACCTGATATTCTTTACCCCTCCTTCTGCGGATGCTTGGACTCCTGATTGGAAGAATGGCCTCCCGTCACCAGAGCGGGTTTACGTGTTCAACGGCGACTTTGTGGACCGAGGCAAGGATTCAGTGGAGATCCTGATGGTTCTTTTTGCCTTCATGTTGGTTTACCCGAAAGAGTTCCATCTTAACAGAGGAAACCACGAGGACCATATGGTGAACTTACGGTACAAGCCAAAACTTGCTTGGGTATTTGGTGTTTGCTTGTTGTGATTGCAAAAAGTTATTTTGCCAGAGTTTTGTTTGGTAGATACCTTTACAAGTAGTTTGCCAATATTTTTAAAAGTAGAATACACAATATGTAACATTTTAAAAGAGTTTTTAAAATTTTGCATATTTTTATACTATTCCAATAAAACTATTAAATTTTTTTTGCATATCCATATTCTTTTTTTTTTGAGACAGGGTCTTACTCTGTCTCTTAAGTACAGAGGTGTCAGCCTAGCTCACAGCAACCTCAAACACCTGGGCTCAAGCAATCCTCCTGCCTTAGCCTCCCAAGTAGCTGAGACTACAGGTGTGCACCACCATAATTGGCTAATTTTTTCCATTTCTTGGTAGAGACCGGTGTTTCACTCTTGCTCAGGCTGGTCTCAAACTCCTGGCCTCAAGCAATCCTCTTGCCTCAGCCTCCCAGAGTGCTAGGATTACAGGCGTGAACCACAAGCCTGGCCCATACTCTAACGTATAAATAATAAGGGTTCATGATAGTAAAAGCAGGAAGTAGATACAAGCAAAAGAAAGAAAATTTGAATACCTCATCATTTCTCTATCCAGAGATAATGTTATAATTGTAAACATTTTGGTAATTATTTCTCAGTCTATTTTCTATGTATTTAAGTACTTATATTTAAAGTATGCATTTTTATAAAAATGTGATTATGCCCCAACTATTGTCACTAAATTTATGTAGTAACTATGTTTGTTTCTAAATCTAGATATGGCTTCACCAAGGAAGTGATGAATAAATATAAGGTACACTGCCTTGAAAAACAAACATTTCTCTTAGTTCAGATAAGTTAATTATTTGATACTCATTATGTTAATATCATCTTTCTCAGATACATGGCAAGAAAATACTAAGAACCCTGCAAGATGTTTTCCGTTGGCTTCCCCTGGCCACTCTAGTTGATGAGAAAGTTCTAATTCTTCATGGTGGGGTGTCAGACACGACTGATCTGGAACTTTTGGACAAACTAGACAGACACAAGGTACTGACTAATAATCCAAATACTATACAAATCTTGTCATAATGCCCAGTTTCATTGCCAACAAAAAATAAATGTCATCTTGCATGCCAACTCCAGTCGACTGACGACAGCTATCAAGAGTGTGGAGAAGGGCTGAGGACCCACAGCTGGTCTCAGAGCACACGTGCTGCAATCAGCTAGGAGCGTCTGCTCGGGCAGGCTAGTGGGCATTGCAGCTAAGGCCGTGGATTTGCCATTCCTGATCTAGATGATTCTAATCATTACCTATCACTGTCACCAGAAAAACCTCCATTTCCCAAATAATTCATATTATCTTCAATTAAAGTCAGCAAATGTGCATTTAGTGTCTACTACTACCTTCATGCCACCCCTATGAGATAGCATCATCATTACAGTACAGAGAAGAAAGGCACAAAGAAACTGAAGTCCAGGGGCCACGTGGCTGAAAAACACGGAAAAGTATGAGTTCGAATCAGACTCCTTAGATTCAGCCCTGGAGGGGTCTTAGTATCTTTGTGCCTCCATTTTCTTTCTTTCTTTCTTTTTGAGACAGTCTCACCCTGTTACCCGGGGCTCGAGTGCCGTGGCGTCAGCTTAGCTCACAGCAACCTCAAACTCCTGGACTCAAGCAGTCCTCCTGCCTCAGCCTCCTGAGTACCTGGGACTACAGGCATGTGCCATTGTGCCTGGCTAATTTTTTCTATATATTTTTTTAGTTGGCCAACTAATTTCTTTCTATTTATAGTAGAGACGGGTCTCACTCTTGCTCAGGCTGGTCTCAAATTCCTGACCTTGAGCAATCCGCCCGCCTCGGCCTCCCGGAGTGCTAGGATGACAGGCGTGAGCCACCTCCCCACCAGGAAGAGTGTTTTTCTGATTAGGTCTAGGCTGAAAAGCGGCCCTCCCTCCCTCCCCTGCCTGTCCGTCCTCAGCAGGGAAGACAATGGGCACAGGTACACTGGCACTTGCTGTCAAATGCCACGAGGAGCCACCTGCCCACCGTGGGAGGACGGGGCAAACTGGCGCTTGTCTGTGGCCCGAGTCGGGGCCTGAGCGGCTCGGAGAGGCCCGCGGCCCACCCAGCCTGTGTCTCTTTCTGGACGTGTCTAGATCGTTTCCGCCTTGTGGTGCAAAACGAGAGAGGCGAGCGCGCAGCAGGCGGAGGAGAAGGACGACGCCCGGCCGGGCGCTGCGGAGAGACCCGTCCCGTGGTTTCTGCCCCAGACAGAGCGCCGCGCGCCGGCTGTTCTCGCCCTGCTGCCCGGCTGCGGGCGCCCGGCCGCCGCTCCTGCGGCGCCCCCTGCGGCCCTGCGGCCCGCGCCCCCTGCAGCCCGCGGCGGCGGGCGCGGCAGGCGCGGCGCTCGGAGGACCTGGAGCTGGCGCGGCGGGCCGGGCTGCGCGGGGCGGCGCGGCGGGGCACGGGGCCCCGCTCCCGGCCGCGGAGCCGCCGGAGCCCACGCAGCAGGAGTGGAGGCAGGTGGGTGTCGTCGGACGCCGCAGGGCAGGCCCGCCGTGCGCGCTCGCGGGCTCTGGCCTCCCCGTGGCCGGCGCTGCGGGCGGCCGCAGGCTAGGCGCAGACGCGCGCTTGAGACTATACGTGAGGGCTGCGCTGGGCAGCCCGCGCCCCGAGCCCCGCCACGGCGGCTTCGTCCGCGCGCCGTGCCGAGCCTTCACGCGGCGGGCATTTTCGAGTGGGTGTGTACTGGGCAGCGGATACATACATGCACACGCTCATTCCGTGAGCCATAACAACTTCCGGAAGCTTAGGGGTCCCAAGTATAAATGTGTGTCAAATACTGTTGCATGGACACTTGCTCGTGTATTTTTATTCAAATACGTTCCTCCTCCTCTTCCTCTTCTCCCTCTTCCCATCTGAATGAATATCTGTCCAGCTTTTAGGAGAGAAACCGCCTCGGTCTTTCAGGTCGTGGACATCCTGTGGAGCGACCCCATGGCGCAGGAGGGCTGCAGGGCCAACACGGGCCGGGGAGGAGGCTGCTATTTCGGGCCTGACGTGACGGAGCGCTTGCTGCAGAAGCACAACCTGCAGTTCCTGATCCGCTCGCACGAGTGCAAGCCTGAGGGCTACGAATTCTGCCACAGCCGCAAGGTGGGTGGCTCTGCAGCTGCACCCTTTGTGTGTCACAGGAGCAGTCCAAAGGGTCTGGCCAGGACTATCAGAGCCTCTCTGTTTGTAGCAACCAGCTGTGCTTATATTTGCTGCCACTTGCTCAAGGCAACTGGGTGCTTTGCAGTCATCTATCCCTGGCTGTTATAGCCTCTTTGAAGCTCAGAATTTGATTAAGAACACTGCTCGTCAGCACCCTAAGAACAGGCGCAGATATAGTCCCATTGTGTGGATGGGCATAGGAAGCCAGCATTTGCCCAGCCATGTCTCTGTTAAGTCACATGGCTTGCTGTCACATGTCTCTGACAACCCTACAGGGTAATCAGATTTCTGCACTGTTGCTGATGTTTTCCACAGGAGCATAATTGACGTTCTGGCTAATCTTGGGCATCTCCAAATATATGGCCTAGCCTTAATGCCCCTAGGATGAGATTCTGTATTCCCAGGAATACTAACTCCGCAGGAGAAGAGCAGGTTTCCATGCAAAAAAAGGTTTGAGATCCACTACATAAGAAATGTCTGGTGAGATGGCTATGTTGTATGAGTTTCTTTATTGCAGGACTTCTGGGAACCTTGAGTGTCCTGCGTTCCGTGTAAATTTCCAGGAGGAGATACGGTGTCTGGCGCTCCCCCAGTCTTGACAAGGGAAACTTTTTCACAAACACCTTGGTGGGAAAGTCTGCGTTCAGACGTTCAGGCACAGTGTCAGCTTCCAGAATAGATTTGCCGAGTAGTGGTCATGGCCGTCCCGGTCTGGCAGAGCCAGCCTGCCTCGCCTCGCAACTGAGCCAAAGGAGATGTTTTCTATGCCCCCTGCTGTGTTCAATAGGGATAAAATCGTGAAGAAAACGTGCTGGGGATGGACTCCCATCACAGCTCACGTTTCTATGACTTGAGTTGCAGCTCCTGGCCCGTTAGCATTGATGTACGGAAGGAAGGCAGGAAAGGAGGGAGGAAGGCAGGAAAGGAGGGAGGAAGGCAGGAAAGGAGGGCTCCTTCTCCTGGCCTTCCTCTCACTCCTTCCTGCCTTCCTCTCTTTCTGCCTTCCTCCCTCCTTTCCTGCCTCTCCTCCTTTCTGCCTTCTCTCCTTTCCTTGCCTTCCTCCCCTCCTTTCCTGCCTTCCTCCCTCCTTTCCCTGCCTTCCCCCTCCTTTCCTGCCCTTCCTCCTCCTTTCCTGTGCCTTCCTCCCTACTTCTGCCTCCTCCCTCCTTTCCTGTCTCCTCCTCTTTCCTGCTTCCTCCCTCTTTCTGCTGCCTTCCTCCCTCTTTCCTGCCTTCTCCCTCCCTTTCCTGCCTTCTCTTTCCTGCCTTCTTCCATCAATGCTAACCGGCAGGAGCTGGCAACTCAAGTCATGAACATGAGCTGTGATGGGAGCCATCCGCCAGCACGTTTTCTCCACTGATTTATCCATTGAACACAGGCAGGGGGCATCAGAAAACAGTCTCCTTTGCTCAGTTTGCGAGGCGAGGCAGGCCTGGCTCGCCAACCGGGACGGCAGCCATCCGACACACTCGGCCATCTATTTCGAAGCTGACACTGTGCCGTGAATGTCTGACGCAGACTTTCCCCACCAATGTGTTTGTGAAAAGTTCTTGTCATCCACAGATGGGGGAGCTGCCAAGACACCGATCCCTCCCCCTGGATAAGTTACACGGAACGCCCAGGACACTCAAGGTCGAAGTCTGCCAATAAAGATAACTCATTACAACATAGCCATCCTCACCAGTCACATTCTTATGTAGTGGATCTCAAACCTTTTGCATGAAACCTTGCTCTTTCTCCCTGGCGGAGTTAGTATCTGGGAATATCAGAATCTCACTCCTAGGGGCATTAAGCGCTAGGCCATATACTTTGGAGTTGCCAACCCAGAACGTCATTATGCCCTGTGGAAAACATCAGCACCAGTGCAAATCTGATACCCCTGTAGGGTTGTCAGAGCCATGTGACGCCAAGCCATGCTGACTTACAGAGACGATGGCGGCAATGCGGCTTCCCTATGCCCATCCAACCACATGGCAACTATATCCTTGCGCTGTTCTTAGGGTGCTGAGACAGGGTGTTCTTAACAAATTTGAGCTTTTCCAAAGAGGCCTATACACAGCCAGGGAGTATGATGACTGCAAAGCACCAGTTGCCTTGAGCAAGTGGCGCAAATATAAGCACGCTGGTTGCTAAAACCGAGAGGCTCTTGAAGTCCTGGCCAGACCTTTGGACTGGCTCCTGTTGACACACAAGGGGTGCAGCCTGAGCCACCCCAAAACCCTTCGGCCTGTGGCAGAATTCGTATCCCTCCAGCTTGAACCTGTGCGAGGCGGATCAGGACTGCGGTTGTGCTTCTGGCAGCAGCGCTCCGCTCACGTCAGCCGTAATATAGCAGCTCCTCCCCGGCCCGTGTATCTGCAGCCCTCCTGCGCCATGGGGTCGCTCCACAGATGTCGACCTGAAGACGGGCGGTTTCTCTCCTAAAAAGCCTGGACAGATACATCACTGGGAAGAGGGAGAAGAGGAAGAGTGAGCGAGGCGTAATTCTGAAAAAAAACAGACAGTTCCATCGCAAAGTATTGACACATATTTTATACTGGCACCCCTAAGCTTCCGGAAGTTTATGGTCACGGAAGACGTGTGCATGTATGTATCCGCGCCCCAAGTAC